TGCAAATGAATGAAACCAAGGATCTTGACTTTATATAAATAACTAAGTTGAAGAAAAACATTTTGCTACATCAGAAGAATCAGAGATATTTGCATTTGTAGCTGCAAGACAAACACACAAGACAGCATGGTCTGCCTTAGTCCCGATCAGATAAAAGCAAACAGAACAGACTGCTAGGCAGATTGGGAGATCTGGGAAATTTGGCTTTTTCTGCAGCCCTTCTTTTGGGAAAAGGAGGCCCTCTCTCCACCCACACTGCAGGGATCCCACATTCTGCTTTTAATGAGTCCCTCCCCCAAGACTACACACACACACAGACATACACACGTGCAAACACCCTCTCCACCCCTCAATTCTCTAAAGGGTCAGAGAGCAAGCACTTGTATTTGTGAGAGTTTGGGAGCCTACACATTAATGAAAACTCATTTGCACTTGAATTTGCACTCATTTGTTGCTAGACAAAAAAAAGGTAGGCATCCCCTTTTGTATCAACTCTGGCATCACTAAGTTGCATGAGAGATAACTTAGAGACAGATCAGTATGTGAAGTAGTAGTTCACTTACTCAGCTGGTCAGTGTTGTGTGTTTGGGGAAATTCAGGAAGGGAGGCTGTACTGGAGATGGCTAGGTCACCCAGAGCCATAGAAGCCTCTTTCTGCTTGCTGAGAAGAGCAGATAGGTCTGGCTTCTTTCACAAACTCGTCTATTTTCCTCCTCCTCATGCCCCTTCCTGGATGGACTTAGATGAGCACCTCAGCTTTCATCCCAACCTCCTGATCCTCCTTACCATAATAACAGGCCTGACTAGTCCTTCTTTCCCAAGACTCTTCGATGTTGATTTGGCATCCTCATTGCTTTTCTATCAGTCCAGCACATAAATTTTTAATACCGGTATCAAAGCATCTTTAGGTGTCCTCTGGTCTTTTGCCACTGGTTGTGAGGGTTCAGTTACAGAAATGCTCCCCTGGACTCCCCCACCTCTTCAACCACAAGAGTAGGAAGGCATAGTGCAGCCGGTTTACAGACTGCTAATTGCCACTGCATATGCCACAGGGTCACTAAGTAAGGTTGCGCAGGTCGTACACTATACAAGAGTCTCTATACAAGGCTAAGTGGGGGCAGAAATCCAGCTCATACTCCATCTGCCCAGAAGTACACCCTAAGGGATTTCTAAATGTTTTCCAGATTTGTAAAAAGAAAAAAAAAAACAAAACACAAAACTTGCTTTATGAGCTGGCATTATCTTCATTCTCCTCCTAGCCTACCTTCCACATTGTTAAATCAGTAAATGTGAGGTGGGGGACTGGGTATAAGAGCCTTAAAATATTCTCATGCGACAGTGATCTTAGCCAGCTTTAAGAACCAGGATGGGGACTGCACATGTTCCCAGATGGCTGGAATGAAATCTTGATTGGCCGTGATACTCAGTGAAAAGGGGGAAGTCAGCATGTTTCTACTTTTGTTTTTTTTTTTAAATACTTTACAAAGCATATCACTCCACTACTATGGAAATACACACACACACACACACACACACACACACACACACCCCTGGTTATACTTCATTCACAACTGGAACTATATAATAATAATTTTGAAAGGCACTTTCATTATATAATTGTGTGTGTATGTGTGCGTGTGTGTTTGCATGTGTTGTAGCAGAGGCATGAGAGAAGCAGCCCAGGACACAACCTATATTCTAGGTGATGTTTCATTTTCTCACCCCCCCCCTTTTTTTTTCACTGCAATCTGTCTTTTGTTGATAAATTTGTCTGCAGTTTTAAAATATCAATAAATTAATATTTTAAATAACCACATACAATGAAAGCATATACCTTTCCTTTTGAAAAACAGTATATTTCTTTTGAAAATAGTATCTAGGAAGCAAAGTAAAATGCAACATTTGTTTTAGTTAATCTGTACGGTATATTTTAAAGATTTACTTTTGACTAGGTAAAATGGGACTACCAATTAGAGTAGAAATAACAGAGTTTGCCTTCTTGTTAGTGAAGACAGTTAAACACTAGAAAAGAGAGGAAGTTGTCAGGAGTGGCACATGAATGACATGAAAGAAAGCAAGTCGATTTCCTGGTATTATCAGGTTAACATATGACTTCCTCAATTTCGGTGTGTCGATTTCTACGTAAAGATTGATAAAGCTCTCTGGATCTTTATCTCAGGCTCCAAACCAGAGGCTTACTCTGCCTCTTCCCATAATAGGTCCTCAGTGACCAGGCCTTGGTGCTGCTCTGTATCTTCCTGCTGATTTGGTTAAAGGAAGATCCCAGGACTTTGTGTTATAGTCCATGAATTTCTCAGAAAAACCTCAGTGTTACCTGCAAATGACTACTCTATCCAGCAACACTTAACACAATTTCAGAAATCTCAGCAACAGGGAGGAAAAGACAAGAATAACTTGGTACCCAGGGCTTATATTATTTATTTGCCCCCAAATCTACTAGTAAATGAAAAGCAAAAATTCCCTCACATTGAGAAAGGCCCTTATGAGGTACTTACTCAAAACAAGCTTTCCTTTTAGAAAAACAGACCAATTCTTCATCCAATTATAGGGTGTTCTTTGGGACTTTAGTAACTTTCTTTTCCTCTACGTATGTTTTCTTATACCAAGTGTGTTCTGTGGGAGATGACTGCTCTAAAAAAACAGTTCACAGCAGCCTCAGATGCCTACAGACCATCAGCTCACACAGAAGACCCAGAGAAATAAGATGCTGGAGTCATGAAGCAAAGACATGAGGGCAACAAGCTACAGAGCAACATGAAGTAGCAAAACTCCTTCCCCTTTGTAGAACCACAGATGGACAGAGGATTACAAGATATGTTGTGTGACAAAGCCATTGCATTCCCACAAGAGCTCCATAGGTCCAAGGCCAGATGGGATAATTTGTCTTTACCCCATGACCCAGACTGTGGAATGCAACTAACACATTTTCTAGCTGGCTCCAGGCCAAATCATATCTCCTGCTTTTCTTATGTATACTAGACTGTGTTTTCAAGGGCTGGTTCTAAATCATCCAAGCAGGTGGATGCTTGAACAATGACTGGTACACTCAGGAACACCTCACATTTCCTCGATATTCATAAGACAAAATGATTTGGTGGAATATGGTTCAAACAAATGTGGCTTCTCTTATTAGGAAAGGGCTAAATTTTCCAGGGAGTTGAAAATGCTATTTCACTTCACTGTGGTCTCTGAGTACGTAGTATTGGTCACTCCATTTGAGACCTTCAAAAACCCTAGTGAAGTAACTAAGAGTCAAAGAGAAACATGGAAATGTTAATATATTGTGAAGTGAGTGATCCCAACTTTTGCAAGTCAAAGAAGGAACTAGACTCCAAGGGGGTCCTTGGAGTCTGTGGAAAAGTTTTTGTTTTGAAAAAAAAAAAAAATAGTTTTTGTTATGAGCAAGTACCTCATAAGGATCTTTCTCAATATGAAGGAATTTTTGCTTTTCATTTACTACTGGATTTGGGGGCAAATAAATAACATAAGCCCATTGAAAAAAATAGTTTTTTATACTAGTCTTGACCTGTCTTTTAAGATAGTTCTTAGATACTATAAATCAAGTACATGACAATTTGAGCTCACCAAAGAAGCTCTCAAATTAAAAACAAAACAAAACAAACCTTATAGTCACTACCAAAGAATTTATTCATGACATTTTATGTTCAAGGATCTAAAAACTTACTATTCTAAATAGGCAAAATTCCACACATTGATCTACAGATTTCATACTCATTTCTTTACGAGAATTGACAAGCAGATCATAAAAGTCCAGAAATAAATGCTCTCAAATTTATTTTTAATTGACTTTGATAAAGCTGTTAAAAAACAACAATGGAGGAAAGAATGGTGTTCTCAAAAAATGGTGGTAGGACAATTGGATATTGACCAGCAAAAGAATGAAGTTGGACACTTACTTCAGGGCCTATATAAAAAACAAACTTCAAAGGGACCACAGACATAAATGTAAAAGCCAAAACTATAAAAATTCTTCAAAGAATACAGAGGCAGAAATCTTTGTGAACTTGGGTTAGAAAATGGTTTCCTAGATTTGACACTAACAGCACCAGCAACAAATGAAAAAAATAACACAAACAGAACTTCATCAAAATAAACCATTTTGCAATTAAGGACACCATGAAGAAAATGAAAAACTGATTCACAGAATGAGAGAAGTTATTTGCAAATCATATCTCTGATAAGGGTCACATAATCTAGAAAACATAAAAAACTTATAACTCAATAATAAAAAATGATCCAATTAAAAATAAGCACAGTATCTGATAGACATTTCTATAAAGAAGATACACAGATAGCCAATAAATACATGAAAAGATGCTCAACATCATTATTTACTAAGGAAATGGAAATAAAAACACAAAGCAATAACATTTCTTCTTCTAAGAAATGTTAGTTTGATAAAATCCCTAGCAGACGCCATGAAACCCTATCAATAAGGAGAAACTTCCAGCTGTGGTTAGAAAATTGGTAATCATATTATGAATTTTTATGAACACTATTATGAGAAAAAGGAAGTTTAAAAACCTTTATGATGAGTAATAAAAATTTTAATGTGTATATTAACCATATTAACATTTAATATTTGCCTCACTATAGTAAACATAGTCATATTCATAAAGGTTTATTTCAATAACTTTTTCAATCCCTCAGAAGTACCACAGAGGTCTAGCTAATTTTTCACAGCAATTTACATTTTTGCCCTCTTGTCTATCTGAATTCTGACAGGTGGACCTTACACAAAGGTTCAAGAAAACTACTAAGCAAATCAACAAAAAAGTTACCCTTGGATCACAAATTCTAGCAGTACTACTTATTGGGTAAAAATGAGCCATCTTACTGGAGACTTTACTGTTATTTTCATTTTTTTCTGCCAGTTGACCTGTTGCATGTTTCTCTGAAATAGCAAGGAATAGTACTGGGTGTGTTTTCCATTTCATTTGTTGGTCCTAGGCTCTCACCTGACCATCCGGGGAGACAGCGACAATGGCCCGTGGTGGGGTGGCAGCCATCTGCATGGCTGCAGTCACAGCGCTCGGCACAGCTGAGTCCATATGTACCATCCTGCATGGAAGACAACAATGAGTGGGAAATCCTGGGATGGGAGACAAAGAGCCACAGCTAGCCATTTCAGACACAGTTGCTTCCTATAAACACTGCTCAGAAATTCATGTGCTATAATCACTTCTGTCTGTGTCTGCTTGGGCCCCCCAATTGTAGGTTCCAGGAGGTCAGTGTTTTAAAATTGCTCAAAACTTAGTAATGTCTAACACAATGGTCAGCACATGTAAATGGTGAAGCCAATATGCTGATATGCTTATATGCAAATATATGTAAAAAGGCCCATTAGTGAAAAGAATCTTTTTCTTATTGTAAGCCACAACTCATAAAAAATTACTTTGTTGGATCTTGGGGCCATCTTTCCATTTTTTTGCAGCCATCACCACTCTCTAAATGCCAGCGCTTCTCCAGCCAATGGAGAAGAGAGGTGAGAGATCTCTGTAACATGCGTTGTGCAAAACGGACATACTGCAAATCCACTGGTGGTAAAGACTGAGGAAGCAGCTGGCTACAAAGCTACTCACTAGAGTGTGCCCTCTACTGGAAGGGTAAAGAAACCTTATTTGTATAAGCCCTGTACTTTGGCACTCAGTGAAATTACTTTATCAGAACTCCACTGAACTTCTGATTCACAAACTTCCCTTCCAGTTCAGGACTTCAAAACAGATCTGCGCTTTCTGAGCACAGCTATTGGTGCTTTGCAGGAAGCAAGGAGCCCTATCTGACTGTCCTTTCTGAAGACACCAACCTGTGTGCTAGCCATGTCAAATGTCTAATAATTATGCCTAATATGGTGTAATTAACCTGCCACATGTGTGGAGAATGTGCTTAAGAATCTACTATGATGATGGGCCTCCCCTGGTGGCGCAGCGGTTGAATGCTGGGCTGCGAGGCTGCCCGCAGCCTCTGCAGCACCGGTTCGATCCCCCGCCACCAGTTTGAGTCCCACATGGCACGCAGACCTCTCCTGCTGTGCCTGCTGCCCCCCTCAGCAATGTATTTCGTCTGTTTGCCTGTTCTGTTCCCTGCTCTAGCTCTGGTGAATTCTCTCACCCTTCCGTGCTTCTGACTGTACCCAGTGCTTGTATAAATAAATAAATAAATAAATAAATAAATAAATAAATAAATAAATAAATAAATCTTAAAAAAAAAAAAGAATCTACTATGATGGAAAATATTTTATTCTCAAAAAAAAACCTTTTTCTCTACTTCCTATGACTGGTAATTCTGAATGTTAGTTTTTTGTCCCATTGGAAAAATAAGGGACAGCAATCAGGTATTGGTAGTTTCCATCTGCATTTCATACCACCCAACCACGAACAACATGTCAATCATCAGAGGGACGGACCTGAGGACTACAATAAAACAGGTAGTGGATGGTTGATGGCATTGTCATTTGTCTAGGACTTTTTAGAATTAAAAACAATTTTTTAGGCCCCATTGATTTTTGGCAGGGCTGCATGGAATTACTTTGCCATAATATGAGCCACTAAACCACCAACTTTTATTATGGCTTTTAATATATAAAACAGGACCAGATTGCACCAGGGGCTTTGCCTTGTCCACAATCAGATTGGGAGTGAAAGGTGACCTTTAAGCCCCTCTCAGAGCTCTGATAATTTGTTCACTGGGGCATGAGGAGCAGCATAGCTAACTTAACTTTGTTCTGCAGGGTTGGAAAGTGACCCAGGGTAGGAGCTTCTCTGTGTTGGGAAATGGGTTGTACTTAATAAAAAGAAAACCCAGGAACAAAATGTCTCCATGGGGGGTTGTTCTTAAGGGGTCCAGGTCAGGGGTCAGTCAGACTGTATCACCCCGTTGAATGGTCTCCCTGAGGCAGAGAAGGCACACCACTGAGACAATGCTTAATGGCTCAGGAGAAAGGATGGTGATAAGAAGAAAGAGTGATGGGAAAGAGGGAAAGAAATAGGCCAGTTGCTAGTTGCTTCAGGTAGATTACTACAGAATGCACCTCCCAACTTGCCCTCTATCAGCGTGTGGTGGACACAGGCTGGGATTTCTAATGCTGTGTATCTTCCAAGCAGTTCAAGGAAGCGGAGTCAGCACTGAACTAGGGAAATGTTTGGAGATTCTTGTGACCTCAGAGATATTTATGTTAAAAGATGGCTGCTTCCAGACCTTACTTCACCACCTCCATCAGCATTCTGTGACACCAGTCACACCCCCTTTCAATTCCTGCCACTTTCCACCCTAAAGCCTGAGGGATTTCCATTATAATGGAAACACAATACCTAGAGAGTTGACAGGCTTATTTATACAGGATGTTTGACAAATGCTGTTGACTGGCTGCCACGAATAGATGGGTGTGTAAGAACAGAGAAAATAGAGGGGAGCTGTGGGGAAACGAAATAGAGATGGAAGAAAAGAAGAAAGTCTTTCTCACAAAGCTGCCTAACCAATTTCCATGTTTGTCCCTTTTTGAAACCTATATTCAATCTGAGTTTAAACACCTCAATTCTTTGAATAGTCACTACGGTTTGGTTCATACCAAGTCAAGAAAAGTTCTTTAAGTCAAGAAAAGTGCAGAAGTAAGCTAAGCCTTGGACACCAGCTTCTCCCAGACCTTCCCAGCTGGGGCACTGGCGTACCTGGCAGGGAAGTTCACATTTCTCCCCACGCCATCCAGGTGCACATGTGCAGGTCCCATCCAGGGTGTTGCAGGCTCCCCCGTTGAGGCACTGGCAGGTTAAGTTACAGCTGAAGCCCCAGGTGCCACTGGGACAGCTGATGGAGCAGTCCACCCCGTGCCAGCCTGCAGTGACAAGAACGCCAGAGCACATGAGGAAACAGACAGCAGGGAGTTTGCCCAGCCTTTCCAAACCACATTTCCCTTTGGAAACATCCTGGAGATGCACAGCAGTGCCCCAAGCCCCAGCACAGAGAGCGCTGGTTCTGCCATGTAAATAAAGCCTCCATCAGAAGTGAACAAAAGCCCCTAGTAGCCATGTGTGCTGTGTGATCTTTCAAGAACAGAGAGAAGCACTTCTAGGCTACTGGGGGGAGAGAGATGTAGTGGGAGCACCTTTGATACAAAGTGACATGCACCATGGAATGCTGACTTTAGTTCTGGTCAGAAAAGTGGAACATTCTTTGGGAGGGAGAGAAGGTTTATATTGAAAGAGGAACCCTGTCTTGACAGCATGATCCCCTTAACCATGAACAGTGAGTATTCAAGATTCTAGCTGTGGCACCAACTATTGACAGACACATGACATCAGTGCTTGGCTATATTTCTTGTCACTATTTCGGGTTAGTCAATTTAGGAGCCTGGACACATGTCATCTTGCCTATTCTGCCCCAAAGAGACTTATAGACTTTAGACCTGGGGACAATGCCACAGACTAGAGCATCCTATGTGATCTTCTTCCCATGACTTATGAAATCAAGAGAGCCCACCCTGGAGAAGGGGCTGGCTGAGTTCAGGCCCCCAAGTTTGGTGCAGCTGGAGCTACAACCCCGGAAAATTTTTCTTTCCTCTGCCTTTAGAAAACACAGGTCAAGGGGTAGATAGAAGACTCATTCACCCACTTACCTGCCTTGCAAGTACAAGACCCATCCACAGGAGAACAGAGAGCATCGTTTTTGCAGCCACAGAGAGAGGAACAGTTTATCCCATAGCTTCCCAGAGGGCATGGGGTAGAGCAATCAATTCCCTAGACAGGCACAAATAGAAAAAGGCATGCAATTTTACCAATTGAAACAAGGTCAATGCAAATAAACAAAAATATATCTTGGAGATGCTAATTTTATTCCCTTTCTAATTTTAACACATTGTATTTTTTGAAAGTAGCTATACCGTCACCACTACACAATTTTTTGAGATTTAAGTGTAACGCTAGCTGGCCTATGATTAGGATAAAAGATTAAATGGGATCCAAAAAAAATTCTGCTGCCTTCATTAGTTTTCTTTCCTAGCAAAAACAAAATTTGTCCTTGCTCAGACAACTAGATATATAACAATAAACTGTAGCTGTAAAATTACTGTCAATAAATAAAGATAAATATGAACTATATATTACATTGCAATGCATTCTAGACAACCTGGTATAATATGTAATATGATTAGTGGGTAAAGCAATACAACAGAATACACACACTCAATCAGTAGCCTGATTCAATTTATTATCTGACAGTGAGCGTTAAACTTAGAAGTAGGTTACCAACGGTGACTGGAAACGTCCAGTCATGGATGGAGGGCATCTTTAAAAACAGAAGTCTCCTAAGACAAGGTGAATTCAAGAGCTCAACCAAAGAATTGTGACATGGATTAGAAAACCCTATAGAGTGCTGAGACTCTATAATCCACTTGTTCCACATTATTCTATCTGGAATAATCACTAGTATTCTTCATGGTTTAGTGTTTTCTTCTATAAAATGGGAGAAATCAATTCAAGAACCACCCATTTTCCTTTAAAACAAAGATTCCTACCTAGGAAATGCTACAAACTGGGCAAAATTCTGCTCTACTAGTTTATAGACATATTTGTGAGGTCCAGATTCTCAAGGAAACCAAAAACTTTTTCAAAACTATTAACCATTGAATAGAAATGTATAATGTATGCTAACTTGATATATGTCATCAAGTTGCATGAGACTGAAACAAAAGTTGTTTACAATAATACATATCCAACTTGGAAAGCAATGTATTTGTTGGCTATAAAACACAGCAGAACAATCATGAAAGGAATAATTGAAATACCTCATACTTCATGATATATATTAATTGGATAACTAAATATTAGTGCCACACTTGTAGTTTTACCAGCTTTCCCAGTCATTCTAAGGTTTAACTTATATGTTCCATGGCTACTTTTTTCTTATTGCTTTTCTTATTAATGATGTGAGTGATTTTAGCACACTCCTTGTACTTCAAAAAAGGTCCTATAAATCATGGTATCAATATGCTCCACAGTGTACCCCTTGTCTCCTTCCAGGTCACTCACTTTGAATCCTGGGGCACAGGTGCACTTTCCAGTCCCACTGTCACAATCAGCCCCATTCTGGCAGCTGCATATCTGTTGGCAAGCTTCCCCGTAGAATCCAGGAGAACATGTCTCATTACAGTAGAGTCCCGACCAGCCCGGTCTGCAGGCACACTCTCCAGACATGGGGTGACAGCTGAGAGACATGGATGAAAGAAACAAATCACTCTTGGGTAAACGTGACACCCAAGGCCCGTACAAATGTTTATTTAGCCATGATCACTGAATGTGCGATAATTCCATGCACAATAATTTAAACTTCATTTCCAGGGTTGGTATGATTTAATTAATGGAATGAAACTTGACTGGTACTACAGGAGTGTTGCATGTAATCAGCATCATCCTCTAACAGGATGACTATCACAACCTTGTGCTTTTGTCCAAAAGTACATTTTTTTTTTTTGTAAATCAAAAGTATTAATTCAATAAGTAGTCAACTTAATGAAAAGGTCTAAAGAATGTCATCCAATGAACAATACAAATCAGTTAATCAGGGCCTCCCCTGGTGGCACAGGTGGTTAAGCGCAGTGCTAAGAAACTGTCCGCAGCCTCTGCAGCGCCAGTTCGATTCCCAGCCACCGGCAAGGGTCCCACATGGCAAGACAGACCTCTCCTGCCTCACCCGCTGCTCCCCTCAGCAGGGTATTTCGTCAGTCTGACTGTTCTGTTCCCCGCTCTGTCTCTGGTGAATCCTCTCACCATCCCGCATCTGGCCTGTACCCCGATTCTTGTATGCATAAATAAATCTTAAAAAAAAAATCACTTAATCAGGGATGTCTAAGGAACTCTAAATGCAGAGACCTTGCTTCTTCTCTTGGCCTCATGTACCTGGCAGAGGAACAGCTGCCTCTACCTGAAAGAGCTGCCACCTTGGCAGGTCAAGCAGCCAGCTGTCACTCCACAGCAAATGGACATATCAGCTGTGCGAAGATGCATGTGTTAGTGAGGCTGACACAATAGGACACCCTGTGGCACTCAAAACACATGTGCTCCTCACTACAGAGAAAATCAACAATCAAACTAATTCTGCACACAATTGGAAGACTGTTTAATCTTCCCCACTGATGGAGATAAAATCCTCCCTTAAACAAGGACCAAGAACAAAATCACTGTTGCAACTAGGTATTTGCTAAGTGATGTCTCAGAGGACTGTTCATAAATTTATCACTCTTGGAAATGGTTATATATTGGGAAGGATGAAGACTGAGGATGAAATTCTAGTTTTTCTGCTACCTGGGTAATCTTAGCAAAAGCACATAATTTTCTTGGACCTAACATTCTAGTCTGCACAGTGATGCCTTCAACCCATACCCTAAAATCCCATTTCCTATCTTTTTTTTTTTTTTTGCAGAAAAAACAACCTATGAGTTGGACAGTTTTCTTTCTTATTTTCAGAAATTTATTTAAATACACTCTGAGGTCCCTGCAGCAACTAAGTGCTCACAAAGGGTAGGCATCTGTCACAAGCATTGCTCAGAAAACATGGTATGAAGAGATATACTAATAGAAGTCTACATTTAAAATAATTTCTTGCACTGAGAATCTGTCTGGATTCAAAAAAGGGAATCTTGAATCTCACATCTACTTGAATCTGTTCAGATCTACCTATTTTTAGGTGAATCACTTATGCTTAAACAAACATCTGGCATCTCTGTGCTATCTGTGTTTTGATGTATCACAAACAGAGCCATACCCTTTCTTCCCTTTCTTCACTCCTCATTCACTGTCTGCTCCCAATTGTCTCAAATGGTACCACCATTTACTTGGTTGTTCAAACTGGAAATCAAATAGTTATTCCTCCTCTTTCATCTCCTATATGCATTCAATCACTAGGACTTAACCAGTCTAAGTCCACAACATTTCTTGAATCCATCCACATCTCTTCATTGTCACTGGTAACATTCTAGTCTGAGCCAAACTCCTGAACAGACTTCAACTTTTCTCCCTGCATATACTCATGCTTCATCAACTAAAAAGTCATATCATTCTCTGTAAAAGGTCATATCATATCATTCTCTGTAAAACTCTTCAAAGGCTTCCACCTGCATTTAGAATAAAATCCATACTACTAAATATAGTTACTGATTATAGAATTGTCTAAACCAGTACATTTTTAAGAATGAAGGGAGAGTTACTAATAACTATATTATTAAGACAAAGGCCTAAACCAGATGCTTTTTGAGGACACCAGAAATATGACCACCCTATATATATATATATGATCCACAGGCCTTCATTATCTGGCTACTGCCTACTGTCCAATCTCTTTTTTCATCATTATTATCTCTTTATTATTATTCTCAACACATTGAATTTCTTTCAGTTTCTACAAGTATTGAGTTTTTTTAAAGATTTATTTATTCTTTCATACAAGAACCAGGGTACAGCCAGATGTGTGGAAGGGTGGTGAGAGGATTCACCAGAGACAGAACAGGGAACAGAACAGGCAGACTGACTGAAAGACACTGCTGAGGGGGGCAGCGGGGGAGACAGGATATGTCTGCCCTGCCATATGGGTATCTCCCCGGCTGGCTGGGATCAAATCCATGCTGCAGAGGTTGCAGACAGGTTCACAGTGCAGCATTCAACCACCTGTGCCACCAGGGAGGCCCCCAAGTATTGAGATTTTTCAACCTAAAGACTTCTGATGCTTTTCCCACATAACTAGAATGCTATTGCCCATTCTGCCTACCTCTCCATCTTATCCTTTCAGTTCAGTTAAATAGCTCTTTCTTAGAGGATTTTTCACATTACTTACGTTTACATTAGGTTGATAATTTTTTAAGATTTATTTTATTTATAAAAGAACCGGGGTACAGGCCAGATGCGTGGGAGGGTGAGAGGATTCACCAGAGACAGAGCGGGGATCAGAACAGGCAGAATGACTGAAATACACTGCTGAGGGAGCAGCGGGTGAGACAGGAGAGGTCTGCTGTGCCATGTGGGTTGCTCCACAGTTGGTGGGGATCAAACTGTCACTGCAGAGGCTGCGGACAGCTTCACAGCACTGTGCTCAACAGCCTGTGCCATCTGGGAAGCCCCATTAGGCCTATTTTCTTATTCTTTTTCATAACACCCTGCTCTTTTCCCTCATCCCACTTATCACTATCTATAAGCTTTCATTTATTTTTATAGTCATTTAATGTCTCCATTCCCTTCTGTACTTCAAGTTTCATAAGGGCAAGAATTAAGTCTGTTTTATTACCTGTCCCTGGCACACTATAGGCCTATAGTTAATACCAGTTGAGTGAATAGTAAAATGTCACATTTGGTTGACCAGGGATCTTGCTTTCGTACATTAATCTACTCCCACCCCCCAATATCTCAGCAAGCAATATTAAATTACAATCTGTATATCTGCAAACACAAAGGCGAAGGCAAGATCTCCCTTAAAATTAGTTCTTAAAATGTCAAAGTCATAGCTTAAAGGGGACTCACAATTATGTATGGAACACTTACTTATGTGATGTTTATGATAATATTGTAAGTGGCACTGAATGTGTGCCAACACCATGCTAAGCAATCCATGTGCTTTATTTCACTTAATCCTCACAACCATTCGAGGTGTTAGGTATGATCCCATTTTATAAATGAGGGAACACAGTCTAGAAAGAGCAAGTAATTTATTCAGAATCTGACACAGACAGTGGCAGACTCAAATTTGAATCCAGATTTATTTGTTTTACACCAAGAAAAAAGAAACGTTACAGTAGCCTTTGAGGAGGGCTAGATATGAAACAGAATTGCTAAAATTTGGGATGAATACAGATAAAAAGGGTCAACAGGACCAATAAAAGCCTGTATTGTGCAAAAACAGAACAAATTAAAATTTATTTCAGTAAGTTGCTACATTTGAAAAAAGGAAAAAGAAATATTTCAAGTGATGAATTGGTTAAATTAGTGTACCTAACTTACTACAAAAAGGGACAGTAGAAAATACTATTTTTTAAAGATTTATTTATTTATGCATACAAGAACTAGGGTACAGGCCAGAGGTGTGGGGGTTGAGAGGATTCACCAGAGACAGAGTAGGGAACTGACCAGGCAGACTGACCGAACTATACTGCTGAGGGAGCAGCGGATGAGTCAGGAGAGGTCTGCTCCACCACGTGGGTACCTCCCTGGGTGGGGATCAAACTCATGTTGCAATGGCTGCAGATTGCTTCATAGGTTGCGTCTTAACCCCTTGCGCCACCAGTGAGGCCCAGAAAATATTTTTTATATTAAAAAGCAGAAGTAATATTTTTGGTATAGACATAAATGTTAAACAAAGTAGACAGTTTGGGATGGAGAATTGAACTAAGCAAGAGGCAGATAGAGAAATTGATATTCAAGGCCCCCCAGTGAGTATTAGTGCAGCACACTGCTTCTCAGATTGATTGACACCAAAATTAGTATTCTGCAATTTGTAATTAGATGTAGGAAGCCAGAGCACTTTGGAGGCATTTGATGGGTTCTCAGGCAGGCAGCTTAATTGGTAATGAGATTTACGTGTTGATGTTAGAGCAGCAGATTCAAAGTTGAAGGGTGATATACTCCTACCTGTTCTCTTTCTAAAGAACAGACTACTTTGTGTATATGAAAGTAGGATTAGACACATTAGGAATATCTCTCGCTCTATACACACATATAACTAGATACAAATATTCTAGTAAATTTTTTAAGAGTTAAATTAGTATAGAGTTCAATACAATATTGATTAAAAATAGAATGAGTCATTGAATTCCCTTTTATGTATTTCCTTAGCTGTTATTAATACTCAACGCAATGACAATTAGGTGGCATTTGCAAATAGGCATACCCTACTTGCTGACAGCTATTAATTGTCCTTGTTAACAAGATCTAATATATTTATCTCATGCAAAATCTTACTAAATCCAAATTTCATTTTCCTGCTCAAAATAATTTTTAGCATAAAATTCACTTACAGTTGAAATTCCAGGTCACAATGAATGTCTTTAGGTGCTGTAACTGTGCAATTTTGATTTAAAATAATAACATTACTTATAAATATAATTAAATTCCTCTCAATCTTATGAGAGATGGAAAAATAAGAATAGCTACAAATTCTTTGCAACTCCTCCTATCAGGAGGTGGAGTATATTGAATCTGGACTTGGTTAGTTGACCTGCTTTG